ATGGGGGATATGAGAAATTGAAGAGAGGAGAGGGAGGGGCAATGAGGTAAATATAGTGTTTGTGTATTAAGTCTCAGAAAATAATAAGGGGATGATAAAGATTTGAAAAGGGGGAGAAGGCCGGAGAGGAAAAGAATGGTGTAGAGCCAGAAGCAGAAGTAGAAAAGGAAAGAGAGGGCAGCTGAAACAAAGGGAATCAGAGAGTAGATAGGAGACTCTGGAGAAAACCCTGGGATGCTTCCACAGAGCAGAGTCTGGTGTCTAGAGCTCAGAACTCAGAGTCCATGCTTGTTCAGTTTCAACTGTGGGGAAAGACAGCCAGGGGAGGAGCAGAGGAGGCTGGCCCTGTTCCTGTAAGTTATTTCTGGATGCATTATTCATATTTGATAAATCATTTAGATGCAGATACTTTATTAGCTTATAAAGCACATTATATGGTTTTAAATTGTTAATACAGGCTGTTGTGATGCATATTGTACCTCTGAAAAGCCATGCATCACTTTAATTCATAGCCTCATTATAAAGCTTGTTACAAAGCGCTGCGTTATTACATGAAGGATAGCAGGGTAGCATTTCTGTAAGGAGACTGAATGTTTTATTTACATCATCAGTGGCTTAGATTAGCACCTCAGAAATGCACTGGGAGATGCAATGGAATCAGAGCTTAAATTTAAATACAGACTCAACATTCTTTCTTGAGAGTTCTCACGAAGACCTGGAATATGGGTCTAGTCTGGTTACATAATAACTGTTCACACCTTGGACCAATTGACTTGTCTACATCTCAACAATATCTACAAATGTTGTTATAAGACTAGACATAGGTTTTCATCTGTTACATGACATCTACCTGGATAATTGGAAATAAAATAGTAGTAAGTGCTTGTCCATGGCATCATGGAGTTTAGTAATACTTCTAGTAAAGTAGAGAAAAGAGAGTGCTGGGGGACTGGAATTACCTACTTTGTAGATAATAAAGGGTATGGAACTGGAAAGAACTAAATATCATGAGTCTAAATTATCTGCAGACTTTTAATCAACCTTGACAATGATTTTACATTATCTAAATATGAATCTTTGTTCACTCTTTAGATGTTGGCACTTGGGCAGATCACTTATTCCCACTGGTTCTCAGTTTTCCCATCTTTAGAATGAGAATAATTGACAAGTTATTAAGAATATTAATTTAACAAATACATAGCCAAGAGTTGGAAACATTGAAGTTGTTCGGTAAACACTTGTTATCACAATTATTAGGTACTTGAAGACAGGAGGTGGGCATGCATCTCAAGCTTATGTGAAACATTCCCAGTTAGCATTGACTGCAGTAAAGCAACAGAGGTTTAATTGCACTTTATTGCAATGAAAAAGTTCTTTTTGTATCAAGTATAATCCAGCTTAGCACTCTGCCTTGGCATCTTTGGACTTGTGAATTCTACAATGTGAACTTTTCTGGACCATAAAATAGTGTCTTCTCTTTCAAAATCAGCAGTGAGTACTCACAAGGGAAAAAAAAGAGAATAATTTTGGTTATATGAAGGGAAGCTCTGAAGAGCACTGAATTCTAAGCTGATGCCCAAGACCTGCACTAGATCAAGGCAGCCAAGATCCCAGCATGGAAGAGACAGGGGAAACATAACTCATCATCTCTAACTAATAACTAATGACAGTTGATGGCCTTTTGGGAGGGAAAGTCAGTTTTCTTTAAGGGTAGATAACTCTGGTAGATCACTGTGTTCCTCTGAATGGACTCCAACGTATGAGTCTATGTGCACCAAAACTTTGATTTGGTGGATTATTAAAGCAAAAAGACTCAAATTTAGATGTGACTGAGAGTGTAGGAGGTGGTTCTGGGAGGAGATAGGGGGATGAGGGGAGCTAAATTGAAAAATATTATATGAAAATCGCAAAAAAATTTAAAAGTTATATTAAATAAAAGAATGCATGCTGAAATGTTTCAGTGAGCATGGGGGAGGGACTCATATCATAGTAGAGGAGATACTGCAATTGATGCCTGTTAAAGGAGAGAATGTTGGTTTACTTTGTATACAGCCCCTTACAGGCTTTGAATGTTCCAATGATGCTCCTATGCCTTTGCAAAAACTGGTAGCACTGAGTGAACTAGTTAGTTAAAAAGAAAGCATGTAAATTTTGGAGGGAAAAATGGAAGGTTTGGAAAGAGGTGTAGGGGAAGTGGAGTACTGGATTTGAGGGAAATATATTACATTAATGTGAAGGTGTGTAAAAGAATTAGGCCTGATGTGCAGAAAATAATGAGTCCATGCTGATTGCTAAAGGTTTAAAATGCTTGCTTTCTCAGAGTCTGGCATTTGAAAGTCATGAATCAATGTATATAAAGTAAGTTAGCACTAGGGTAGATTAGTGGGAAGACAAACTGTCTATATGTTTGAACATTGCAATTGGTATATCATACTCTGGTCTGTAATCTTGAATTCCCTCTATTTTCTTGACATCTCTACCATTCTCGAGTTAAATGGGGAACCATAGTTTCATGTTGACACTATTTTATCTCTATGCTTTAGAAAACTATGTTAATGTGTGAGCTCTTTAGGAAATACTTGCTACTGTCAGTCACAATAGAGACTTAGAGTCTAAGGACAGCAGAGACAAGACATCTTCTGAGAGGACAGCTCAGCATGATCTGATGGAAATAACCACCTTTGAGCCCAAAGATGTTTCTTTCATGTCTATGAAGAATGTTCAGTGGCCATTGCCCTTCCATTTAGTTATATTAAAGAATGGTGGGATGCAGAGGGCTGTGTCTCAGATCACCTGCATGCTGTGACTTTAGTCTTTGCTAGAAATATTTTTTTCATAATTTAAATAGCATTTTTTCACCATGTTGGAAACAGAGACAAAGGAAGACAAATCTCACATATTTCAGTTAATGAGGTTGGGTGTTAGCAAGTCATTTACATCAAAAATAAGCACAAGATGGGGAAGAGTGATCTGTAGAAATCCCTCCTTTTAGATGACGTCTGTTCTAACAGGTGAAAATCCAGACCAAAGAAGCAATTTCATCTGGTACTCTTTGATTTCTGAATGCATCAGAAAGGCGAGCCCAACCATGCCCGCAGAAAGGGAGTGGTGAACACCGGCTGACTTTCTTCTAACTTTCTGTCTACAAAAGTAGCACCTGCCTGCCTTTCCTCCGATTCCAAAACCCTGACATTTTTACTAAACCAGGAAGCAGGGGAGTGATGAGCTCTTCCTTTATTCACTTGGCATGAGGTTTGGCCAGAAAGCAAGAGAATCGGGCATGTTTAAATTGGCATGTAGGAACTCGTGGGCACACAAAGGAACTGGGGCATCATCAACAGTATTAAAGTGGTCAGTATGCACAGAACTGAATTGTATTTTCAAAATGATCAGGTATGTGTGCATCCTTTAACAGCTCCAAATTCAAGTCCCATGTGTTTCTAGAAAATGGTTCTCAAGGGCACCTTGGAACCTATTAAACAGATGTAAACTTTTATCCAGGTTTTACTCGGAACTGTCTATCAGCCCCCTTTCTCTGTCTCAAACATTGTGACCTTATGAACTTACATGCTGCCTCCTGCTCTCTTTTTTTAGTTCTGTCTTTGCCAAAGAAGAAAAACAAATAGGGAATGGTTTCACTTTTTAATTTTTTAAAATTAAATTATAATTACATCATTCCCTCTTCTCTCCTCACTCCAAATCCTCCATTGTATGATATATGATTTCTTCCTCTCTTTTAAATTCATGGGCTCTCTTTTTTATTAATTGGTGTTATACACACGCATACATACACACAAGTACATATGATATTATTTCTCAAATTTCCTTGGAAAAAAATTAAAGCATATAGGCTTCTTTTAGGACTTATATAATTAAAACAAGAAAACAAGATGGTTAAGAAGTAATATAACATGCATGTACATGTTTTCAAATATACACAGTATATGCTTACAACATACAAATATGCAATCCCTTGCTTTATTCACATATTCTTTATGGGGATAGTCTGAATGTCCCATTGGCAGGATTGCATTGGGACAAAGTCATGCACTCAATTCTACTTCACATAAACAAGATCAGGTGTTGAAAGCTTTAGCCTTACTTGGTAGCTGGTGACAATGCTCTGATGGGATGGTGTTATTTATGTCCCATTTCCTGTGCCTGATTCATTCTAACACTGTGTGAGAAGTACTCAAGGGTGCCTTGATGGTTCATTTTGATATGATAGCTTTCTACAACCTAGAATCACATGTTAAGAGATCCTCAATTGAGGTGTATTTTTAGATCGGGTTGGCCAGTGGGTATACCTGTGGGGAATTGTATTGACTGCTAATTGATGTAGGAAGACTCAGCATTCTGTAGATACAATCATTGTCTATACATGGAGTTCTGAATTATAAAAGACAGAAGATAGCTAATAGAGAATAAAAACCAAGGATCTATTCATTCCTCTCTGTGGTTTACTGGGAGTGTTATATAACTCGCGGCTTGAGTCCTGCCACAACTACCTCAAAATGGCAGGCCGCAACCTGTAATTACAAGCCAAATAGACCCTTTCTTCCCCAAAGTTGCTTTTTATTAGGGTATTTCATCATAACAGCACAATGAAACTAGAACATGGCTCACCACAGGTTCTGTAGAATTGCTGACCTATTTGTGGTCTAAAGCATATTGTATCATTATTAACGTTCTAAGCATTCACTAGTTGCTAAATAAAATATTAATATGTAACTATTTGGGAATTTGAGCCTCAAGGCAAACCTAGAAATGAGTTAATTTTTTTAATATTGATTTTATAGAGGGGACTGTTTCATTTCTGAGTCATGTGTACCATCACAGTTCCACGACCTCTAGACCATTCCCCGGGAGGGTCAGACTTGATCACCTCCTGTTGAAGGCCTGTGGATATCACAGAAGAGCGCAGAGGGTAGAGAACAGCATCCAATCCTTCCATCACTCCCTGCCCACAGCCCACCAGGCTCTTTTTAGACTCACCATCTTCTCGTCTTCTGTCCATCTCACTGGACAGAGGCTCAAGTCACCTTGTGCCCTGTCATGTGGCCCATGGCTGCCTTGTAAACATATGCTGGTAGTGCACTGAACTTCTTGAGAAACTTCCGGCATTTACTTCTTGAGTTACAGCTGATGGGTCTTTGCTGACAGATGGACACAAACTGCCTGAAAACAAAACAAAACAAAACAAAAAAAAACAGGTGCATTTTCGTCATTTACACACATGTTCCATTTGAGCTGCAGGGCTGAGGATAACCTGGTTTGACTGTATAGTCTCAGGGAAGGGAACATGTGCAGTCACCTGACCTTACTTCCCGCATACCAACTTCTTCTTTCTTTTAATCCTCTGCATGTTTCCTGGCTATTAGAGGCAATTGAGTATATTGTTTCTGGCAGATAGCTGGTTTCAACATTTCAGTCAAGTCTAAACAAGAAACTTCTGGGCAGAACAAACTGCATTGTGTTTGTCAAATCTATACATTTTTAAAATATTTTCTTTGCATTAAAAAGTTTCAAACATGATAGCTAGGTTCTGTAAAGTATTAAATATTAACTTAACAAGTAGAAAAGAGGGGTGTAACTTTTCTGTCACACTCCCCATCACTTTTGGATAATTGACTATTTTAGCATGACCATGTTTTTCTCTCGTGTCTGTAATATTCCTAGGGAACAAGAGCTATCCTGTTCTTTTACATGAACATTCAGATATGAACTAGCCCTCCTCTGCTATTGGGCATGCACACAATCTCGTTTCTACTCTTATAAACACAACTGGCATCATTTTATGTATTTGAAAAGTTTCTTGTTTTTTTTTTAAGATAAATGTGAAGAAATGGAATATTTTGGTAGAACCAATGTAGGTTTAATGTTCTTACAAATCAGAACCACACTGACTTATAAGGAATTCAGTGTTATGTTATCCTCATTAGAGTAGTATTTGAAAAAGCATATCTCACTGCACTATTGCCAACCTTGAAATGATTTGATAAAGAATAGAGTACCCACATATTTCAATATGCATTTTTTGGAGTTTCTAGAGAAGTTAAGTATTCCTTCATGTGGGTTATAGTCACATTACATTTATATTTCCCATTTAAAATCATTTGCTTTTGTTCATGAACCATTTGTCTATTTTTCTGTTAGTGCTTTTCATATTTGATTTCAAGGACACATTACTTATTAATGACATTATTGCTTTGCTTATCATCTTTTAAAAATATATTCCTGAGTTGAGACTTTTAATTAGCTTTCTTTACTCTGAGAGAGCCCACAATCCTCTCATTGGTAAAATGTTGAGTTACACATTATTTTAGAGTTCCATACTTTACTTTAAGAAATGTTGTTATATTTTTTGAAGTTTGTGTGTCTATGGCAGTTGGCTGGATCAAGCATCTTCACTGTGTCCAGCCATACCCTGTTGGTTTGTGACACTTGGTTGACTCTTCAAGAACAAAGTTCCTAGATGCCCATTTGCCCACTGACTCACCAGGCTCTGAGAAAGCCATTTCCATCCTTTTAATTGCACTCAAACTTCCCCAATTATGTTCTAATTAAGAAATTAAACTCTGCTATGTAGCAGAAGCAAACTATTACAGCCATTTGCATACTTATCATTCTATTTTCACGTGATAATACTAGTCTTTGTTTTAATAATAACCTTTGGCAGCTATAAGAAACAGATAAGTAGGAGCATCTTGGTAGGACAGAAAATATCTGCACATTTATTTATGGGAAGAGACTACAAAGGGAAAACTGGTAATGATGAGGGACATTTAGGGATATATTTGTTTTCTGAAGCCACCAATTCCTATAAATCATCTGATTTTCCTTCAAGAGATAAATACTACATCATTATAAATATGAAAACATTATTGGTGCCTGGAAAAGACTATGTGATTGTTAGAGGAGTGGTCAGCTTAGGAGAAGGGCACAGAAAGGAGGCTTGGTTCAAGCCACATGCCAGTCAGAAGTAGATGTTGGGGTATGCCTATTCTCACTTTTAACTTAGCCTATTGACTTAAAAGTGAGTTTTGGTTGTTTCTTATCATTTAGCTCTTAGAATAATATATATACATATATATATTATCATAAGTTGTGTTTATTCAATAAATCAATTATACCAGTAAATTTCTAAAGAACAAATGCAATTATAAAAGATATTTTTCTATCCCCCACTTCAATTTATCCCAAACTCCCACTTTTAACTTCATAACCTTCTCGTTTTTACTTCTTTTCAATCCATGAATTCCAGTTAACGATGACACGATGGACATGGGTTCAGGCCCATCAACTAGTGCATAGACGACATACAAATGATCATGTTCCTATAGAAAACTAAAATTGATCTATGAGACAAACTAGCAAACACTAATACAGATCTTTAAACTCACAGACAACTAAACGTCAGTCTAAAAGTGTGTGTCTAATCCTGGGAGACTGTGTTATCTAAAGAGAAGGAATGTGGACAAATATTGTGGATTACTGGTTCAATACATTCATCTGCCACTTACCTGAGCAGTTGACTAGCTCTCGGTGCCTAAGTACCAGCTGAACACACTGTGAGATGAGGGGGTGATCACTCTGCATAATCCAATTGTTTGGAGTGTGTGTGGCAGAGAAAAATCTCAGTCATATCTCCTGTGTAGCTCTTACTAGTCTTCTGGGCATGGAACAAGAATTCACCGCACATTTGCTGTTATAGAACAGAAGTGATGTTCCCTGGGGAATGTTAGATGCTATCCAACTGAAATGTGGAAGAAATGAAGATTACCTAACCTCAAGGGCATAGAATCCTATTACTGCAAGAAGAAAATTTGATATGTATGTGTAGATATAAATATATTTCTCTATAAGTTGATTGACAGTCTTATATGAATTTTTATATTTGTCACCCACTCGCCAAACTCTATAAGTTGAGATGTGTGCCTCTTATGTGTGCCTTAACTTGACACGATCTAGAATCAATCACTGAAGAGACAGGCCTCTGGGATGTCAGGGAGAACCATCTAGATTAGTTTAACTAAAGTTTGGAAGATCCACACTGACTTCAGGTGACACCATTCCATGGGGGAGGGTCTAGGATCAAGTTTGCTAGGTAGCAGCATTCTTTGCATTCTGCTTCCTGACTGGTTCAAGTGTGATCAACTTTCTGCTGCTGCTGTCATCCTGACTTCTCCACCGGAAGAGCCAATACTCTTGAACTGTGAGCCAGAGTAAGTCCTTCATTCTTTTTTCTTTTTAAATAATTTTTATTAAGAGATTTTTTTTATTCATTTTACATACCAACCACAGATTCCCTCATCCTCCTTCCTCCCCCTCCACCTTCTCTCCCAACCCACTCCCCATTCCCACCTCCTCCAAGGCAAGGTCTCTCATGGGGAGTCAACAGAGCCTGGTACATTCAATTGAGGCAGGTCCAAGCCCCTCCTCCCTGCACCATGGCTGCACAAAGTGTCTCACCATAGGCACTAGGCTCCAAAAAGCTGGCTCATGCACTAGAGACAGGTTCTGATCCCACTGTGTGGGGGCCCCTAAACAGTTCAAGTTAAACAATTGTCTCACTTATCCAGAGGGCCTAGTATAGTTCCATGGGGCTCCTCAACTATTGGTCCACAGTTCATGCGTTTCTACTAGTTTGGCTAGTTGTCTCTGTACGGTTTCCAGTCATGGCCTCCATATCCCTTGCTCGTAGAATCCCTCCTCTCTCACATCGATTGGACTTCTGGAGCTCTGCCTGAAGTCCTTCATTCTTTAACTTGTTCTGGTCAAGAGATTGTGTTACATAAATAAGGATATTATTGACTTGTATAGACGTGTATCAATTATATTGGAAAGGACATAAATTTGTTGAGATCTGAGATAGTTCTGGTTTCCCAGCATTCAGAACATAGTCTGTGGTACTTATTAGATGATTAACAAGTTCTTGTTAAACTGGGAATTAAAATTTAACGCATTTTTGGTATTGATAAATAAACACATGTGGGATTTTATTGGTTCTAAAAATGGTTTGGGGCACTGAAGATTTACTTTTTTCATCTTATTACTTTATCAAGTTTATTTTTATTTATTTTCAAGCTTCTAGTTAATAACTAATTTTATAGACCTAAATGTGAGGTGAAGTTTGTCTATTTTATTTTTAGGTAAATTCTCACTGATCTCAAATTCTTTGCTTGGAAATATGAAGATGGCCATAGAGCAGACTGTAGCTGAAGGTTTTTCTGTGCTCACCCAGCACCAAGGACCCTACAGCCACTTAAAAAATAATCACTCAGAAGCTTATATTAATTAAAACTGCTCAGCCATTAGATCAGGCTTAGTATTAACTAGCTCTTACACTTAAACTCAGCCCATTTTTGTTAATCTATATGATTCCACATGTTGCGTGGCTTTACCTGTGTGTTATTACATGCTGCTCCCTGTATGGCCGGCTGGCATCTCCTGACTCAGCCTTCTTGTTCCCAGAATTCTCCTTGTCTATTTACCCTGCCTATACTTCCTGCCGGGCTACTGGTCAATTAGCTTTTTATTTATCAACCAATCAGAGCAACACATTCACAGCATACAGAACATCCCACAGCAGTAGACAGCCTCTAAACTCCAGCATTTTGGAATACTAATATCCTCAGACTTTCTATCCTTCATTTTCTATGCTTAAGGATGAAAAAGTTTGTTCTCTGAAAACACTAAACACAGTTGCAAAAGCTGGAGCTATATGTCAAAGGGAATGTCTCCCTGCACAGCATCCCCCACCCCAGACTTGAAACATAATGCACATGATTGTCAGCCTTCTTCCCTTCTCACATAAATGGAGCACTGCTGCATTCCAGCGACAACATAAGCAGAGCATTTATCCCAGTCACTTTTAACAGCCTTCTGCACATTTGCATAGAGCTTAACTTTCATACAGCTGTGGGTAGCTCATAAAATCTCAGCCTGCACTGACCATTAAAAAAAAAAAGGTATTTTTGTATATTGCTGGGTTTGTACACTTCCTTAAACTACTATAGGAATGCGGCAGCCTTTAAAACTAATTAACAGCCCCCTATTGGGGACATAGCACTTGGCAGTGATTTATCCTGCTTGGGAGGGCAGCCCTGTGCAATAAGAACTTCTAAAGCTGTGTGCAGATCTGAGGGGATTTACTAAGTGGTGTTATTTATGATGGACACCTCCCATTACCCAGTTCTGGAGTATATACCAGAATAGAATTAGTTTATATATCTATATCCTAATAAGTGGATTTTCCCCACTTCTTGAAAATGGTATTGCATTTCTTTAGATAGTCAAGTAAAAGTGTTCTCTCTGCCAGAATCCGCTGTACTCGGGACATGTTCTAAAGCATGTGTGACTCTGGGGTCTAGAGTAGTTATTGCTGCTGCAATGATTTGGGTCCTCAAGTGTTCTCTCTATAATGCAATACGACACTATGAAGCTCTCCCTTCTTGTAGTATTTTCCCCCTTGGCTAATTTTCTATCTGTGCAAGCAGAACGATTTGCAGTGGCTAAGTTCCCTTCAGAAGGCCCTTAAAAGGGAGCTGTTAGGAGCCTGGGGGAACAGGCTTGTTTCTGTTCTTACCAACTCCTCCTTGGCGATCTTCTCCCAGATAAGGGAGTTCCTGGTGGACCTCTAGGAGCTTAAGGGCTGGAAGCTAACCCAGAGGGATAAAATAAGCAAGACAGTAGGCAGGCAGGAGGCAGAGACAGAGAGGAAAGAAGGAAGGAATTCAACACACACACACACACACACACACACACACACACACACACACACACACACACACAGAATTTCTGGGCATGAGCTGAAGAGAATCCAAGAAAACTTTCGGCTATGGATCCATTCTGATTCTTACTGCAGCTGAGTAAACACTTAAAACCATTAAAGCTTCTCAATTTTGGCTTTTGACCGATCTCACTTGATAGGTCAAATAGAAATGCTTCATTGGTAGGAATAACACTACCATTTTACATGAAGAGAAAAGTTGTCTCATAAATGGAAGAAGCTTTGACTATAGAAATCCAGATGTTAGAGGTTTCTAACCCCATCTGAACTGCCTCCAGCCCCCCATTCTCTTCCAGTAGAGGAGGGACTTCAGGATGGAAGAACCTGCAAGAGCACATGTCTTAGCTAGGTTCTGGGTTTACCAGATCTCCGAGTTAATAAACCCTGTGAAAACCAAGCATGTGAAGGCTTTGACCATGGTTCTTAGCCTTATCGATCCACCTGGGATGTCAGAATGATAACCAAGCAGGCTTTTGGCCTTACATATCATCTCTAATAAAGTGTGTTGTCCATTACAGCTTTTTCTCACCTGTACCCATCATGAAATTCACTCCAGCTCTTAGTCTGTATCTATCGTCTTTACTTCTGAGAGGCCAGATAGAAATACTCCCCCTTTTTTTATTCATAAATAAACATGTATGTGATTATATAAATATATGATCATAATTTCCAAACCTTACCAGTAAGTTAATTTTACAGGAGCTCATGGAAACTGTGCTACCACCATACTAATATATAGACACCTCAGGTAAGCTACCATCTTTACCTGTGAGAGGGAAGAGCTAGAGTTTTCTCATCTATAAAAGTGCATTAAAGCCCTTTTTTTTTAAAAAAAAAAAATGTCCTCTACTCTTCATGTACTTACCAGCTCCCAAAGAGACTCCTCCTGCCTTTGCCTGTCCAATTTCAGTCCTGAGGTAAAAGAATCAGGAACACTAATCTGACTATAATGCCAGGAGCCAACAACTTCCACATTCCGCAGAATCATGTCAGAAGGGAAGCATTATACTCCTTTGGCTATTCAGAACCCTTTCTGAGCTATTCATCTCTACGGACTCTCTTTTGTTTTGTAACAATGAGCTGAGACTTGATCTTGAATAGATGAAATATTGATGGAACTTAGGAGGTTAAAAAAAATGACTTTGGAGTGATGTCTCAGAATACTTTCTCAGATTCAAGACCCAGACTTCTCCCTTACTAGTTTTGTGAATTAAGTCAAGAAGCTAACAGTTCTCTACTTTAGGTCCCTCATCCTGAACTGTGGTAACTACTGTCTAAAGTTGAATGGACAGCTGAAGTGATAATGCAGAGTGCCGTAAAAATAATGTCCAGTGAGTGTGCCCTTAAACTTGATCTCATTAGCAATTTGAGGGCCTGACAACTCCATCGAAAACCCTAGACAATGACAGTTGTGAGGACAGAAAAAGATGTGGTATTAATAATGAATGAGAAGAATTTGACAACTCAGAGGGGGAGGAGAGCTTGGACAGTGTGGTTATTAAAATATCTTTTTGATTAAATAATCCAGGGATAATATTTCTAGGATTTGTTCTGTAACTCGATGGTGCCATCAAGGATCAGGGAACTCCTTCCATTTTGCTCAATATCCCCCAATTTTATTTTTTGTCCTATGTGCTTGCTTTTGCTCCTCTCAGTGGGAGAAAGATGGTGAAGCTAAAAAGACATATATGAATTTTTTTGAGAGGACAAACCAATATCTTTCACCTCAAAGATTTTGCTTCATATCTTATTTCCCAGATATACACTATAAATTCATAATTATGGACAATCCAGAAAGCAAAAATTTGGTGAATGTGATGTAGTTGGTAGGTTTCATTCTCCAAAGCTGAATACATTGCTGTTGGAACAAAGTAAAGCCACTCTGGGCAGTGATAGGGAGGGCAGAGCACTGTGGGAACAGGGTCTGATACATAAGGATGTAATTGGGAATAGAATATCAATGCTCCAGGGTTTACATTTTGGGTGCCACTTACCTTGAGAACATGATATTCCAAGGAGGGCATTTTTAGTAGGAGCCACCTGATGTCATGGCCTTTGTGGAAAGAGTGTTCTAATTGTCACTCATAACAGCTTACCTTGCATAGTTGGTTATAAATTCTAGCTAGTGCCTGCTTTTGGGTGGTACAGAGAAGTACCTTCACTAAAACAAATGTTTTTAATAACAGTGCTTGCAGAGGCAACGGCCAAATCATCTCTGAGGAATTTGCAAAGAACTCCAGATTTTATTTGCTTGCTTAGGTTTAACAGTGAAGTCTTAACTTTCTTAATTGATTTTATTACTTGTTTCGGGGAAATCTCATTTTGTAGTACTTTGCCCATTACCACATAGCTACAGTGCCAGAAATCACCTATGGTTTAGATTTATGGGAGGTGATCACATATATTACAAATAGTTTTTTTTTCCTATGTCTAATAAAGTCTATTTATTTTACGTACAGATAATAATATCTCTATTTTGGAATGTTTTATTTAAATCCATAATGATTTATGAGCGTAACAGTTTAGATACCATATGCATTTGTCTGGCCCCCATAAAACATGAATTCTTTCCCTGAGCAAGCCTGAATTGGTGAATCTCAGTGATCAGCATTTTTCCATTTTGATATTATCTCTACTGGTGGGGGGGTGATCTATTTAGTTTTTGTTTGCTTTTATTATTTCCTTCAAATCTCAGTCTGGTTATTGCATTTCTGTATCATTTTGGAATTTATAGTCTATTTAATAGCATTTTTATTTTTTATGATTATGTCAGTCATACCCGTAAGAGGGTCTCAGGGAATATGTTTTGAGTTTCTTTCGATTGCAACCACATCTAGAAACTACCTAACTGAATTATGAGTTTTATTTTTTTACCAGAGGGAGCTATGAAACAGAAATGATTTTAGATGTAGATTATAATAATAATTTGGAGGCATCTTTATGATCTGTGAGTTTCATATCGTTCTCCTGCCCAGCACTCCCTTTTGAATATTGCCATCTTCATAAAAGGCTGAAGCACTTCTCATATGAAGAAGAAACCTCTCTATCAGAGAGGTGCCAAGAAGGGATGGTACACTTAGTACTGAATCATTCGCCAAAATGTCAAGAACATTTTGTTCAAACTATCCCAAAGGATAGCACAGTGTGCTGCTTCTTCCTTGGAGAGTATATGTTACAAAAGCTGAGACATTAAACCATCATTAATAAAAAAAATTCAAAGGAGATAATTTATTGAAATACTTCAGGGAATTCAGAAGCACGAAGTAGCCTCATGCAAGATCAGTTAGGAAAGGAGAAAACTCTCAGGGAGCAAGATGTCCTCCTGCCTGTCGCTCTGACTTGCAGACTCATGGGTGATGCATATCATCTACCCAGACCAATATAGATTTGTGACATTGGAGGAAGAGAATGGTCATAATTAAAGCTAGCATTGTAGAGAGCGAACTAGGTCCCAGGCCCCTTCCAAGTACCTCACATGTACTGTAAATGGAACAGGAAAAAGTTAGACATCTTGCTTCATTCAGGTCATATAACCTCATAAATAATAAACAGCACGTTCCTGGGTTGGTCGCAGTTGCTTGGCTTCTGAAATGAGTTTTGTTTTTCTTTCTCTGCAAACCTTCTTTTATGCACCTTTCCGTTTGAGCCTGTATAGAGCACCTCAACCAAACACTGCACGTTTGTTTTTTTTTTTCCCAGTTCAAGTGTCTGACAGAGATTGACTAGGTTTTCTGTGTTCCAATTCCAGCTTCTTGGACAAACAATCTGTTTGGTCACACCAGGTCAGCAGTTGAGCCTGCCATGATAAGGGAAATGGGGTCACTGAGTTCTGACCTACCTGCATGATTTCACTGAAAGTAGCTGGGGACATTCTCATGGAGTCCATGTGACCTCAACAGTCCTTCATCATGCTATTATAATTTATAACCTGAAATATAAATAATCATATCTGAGAGTCTTATCCATGATTCTCAGATTATCCATACATCTTGGATCGTTACATTTAGATCAGTCTAATTTATATTTTCCACAGAACAATTTTTTGATGGGGTGACTTGTGATATGTATCCTTGAAGAGTCCATTTTATTCCTCTTCCCTTGCTTCCTGTTGCCCTCTAGATTAGAGAGAATTTACACACCAAATAAGTGCAGTGGTTCTCTAGCTGAGTACAATTTCCATTAGGCAAAATGGCTAAAATTAATTGTCTTGCTTAATTCTTTCAGCGGGTCTGGAAAGAGAATCTTTACTATTCCCGCTTTAACGACAAGAGAACGGGAAGCAGCGACATGATTTAAAATGAATACCCCAGATCACACTGGGAAAAGGTGGCGGCATCCAAACCCCACCCATTCTGCTGCATGTGAGAATGGAGATTTAAGTATTTATGCTGAACAAAATGAGTATTAACCCCATGGGCCTGTTTTACTCATTCACGTTGGTACATGTCCAGGCACTTTTACATGAAAATAGTCTAAGAATGTAAACCATGCAAACAACTCACAGATCAAAGACTCCTTGTTTGAAATCTCGCCTGCTAGCTCTAAGAAGAACAGTTCTCTACGAATCCTGTAATTTCATGGACAGGTAGCAGGGGTTTTCTCACGTCTTTAAAGTTACAGGGACTGGAAGGGCATGTGCCTCAGCGGTGGGGACACTGGTTTGAAATGGGGTCGTCTAAATTGGGGTTTCAAATATATTTTATCAAAGTGGTATCAATTTGGCCCGAATTCTGACTAAACACCATTTGTAAAACTCAGGTCATAATGCTTACCGTTTAATCTTTAGGAGGTTAATGAGATCGGGATGTTTAGTTAGTTGGCTGGTGTTAAGTGAGGATGGGCCCATCGAAGCGCTTTATCTCTATCCCCTGCTCCTTTCTACCCATTTTCCATGTGTAGTTTGGGAGACAGTTCCTCTGATGATGGACAGGGAGGAAGCAGCTGGAGGAACAGCAAGGCCTTCAAAGTATATCCTCAATGATTTCCTACTTCCAGTTCCTTCTCATCTCTTAACACTTGTAGACCCTCCCAGAATAATATTTTCAGTTGAGGATCAAGTCTCTAAATCAGAAAACTCACGGGGGCGGGGGGGGGGACCTTTAATATTCAAACCATATCAGCATGCTGCAGCCGAAATGCTATACGGTTTGGGGAGTTTTGTCTGCCATATTAACTCATCTATTACTTTTGAATTCAGTCTGATTTTAAAGTCTCAGGACACCAAATAAATGCAGATTTTTTTTTTTTTGTCAGAGAATAACACATATGCTTCTAGTCCACTTCCAATAGGGTCTTCATTTCCATTTGAAACCCAGTGAACACAATCATTACTGGCAATATTTCTTCTAGCATTCTAGCATTCTAGTTCCCACCATTATCAGCCTTTAAAGACTTATTGCAGCATTAGAGGCCTTTTCTAGCCTCCTCCTTCAAACACCACATGGATCTCTGTGAGTTCAAAGCCAGCCTAGTGTACAAAGCAAGATCCAGGACAGGCAACAAAACTACACAGAGAAACTCTGTTTTGAAAACAACAACAACAACAAAAACAAAAAAGAAAGAAAAGAGTTTACTCATCATCACCATTTGGCAACGGTTGATATATGCCAACTGCATTTAGCTACTGCAGATGTAGATGCACAGTGGGAAGAGAAACCTAGAAAAGAACAACCAAGGTGAATATGGAATTTCTGGAGAGAAGAATTACATTGCAGATTGACAGATGAAACACAGACTGATCAAGGCTCTTAAACCACCAGGAGGTTAAATTTGGGTCACCTCAGGATAGTATTGGAAAATGCCACACCCACACTATCATTAAGTTAATCATAACATAGAGTGTCTTAAAGGAGTTGACATAATGTTTGTTCCCCTACCCCATGCACACACATAAATATAATTAAATATGAAAGGTGGTGAGAGTGGTTGAACATCTGTCTTTAGCTTTCAGGTTTTTCACAGTCTGTTGATTAGGTTATGTTTTGTATTATTCCAATGTCCACAGCTGTCAAGTGAAATGGGAGCATGCCTGCTGCATCGGGAAGCGGAGGTCTGCAGCGGCTCTTCATGTTCCACGTGGTAATAGCTGGTGACAGCTTCTACTGTGAACAAATTGTTTTCTGTTGGTTGATGGGTCTCAGCTGTTCTAACCTGGGAAGTGATGAGTTCTGCCTTCATTTAGAAAGCAAGATCTGTTCAAATAGACTCGCTGGATTCTTTGGGTGTTATTGTTTGTTTGATTAAAAAAAAAGTGAGCATGTCTGCATGTACATGCAATGGGATTTGGGTCCATTTTAGATGGCAAGTAATGATCTCACCACAACACTATGCCTGGCATTTTCCAAGGTCTGTCTTTTCCTGATATAATAGAGGGAGAGATCAACACAAGGGTGAAAGGGGCATTTCAGACAATCTCATTCCTACCACTCATTCAGAGATTGATTTCTCATCTTGACTGGGGGCATTTGTTCCCAGGCTGATGCCTTTCCCTTGTGAGTGAGGTTAGTCACACCAATATCCTTATGGAACTCCAAACAGTAAAGTGCTAATTAAAATGGCAAGGTCTAGAGACATGGAGTATCTTCCTTCATAGGTGTTAGATAGTCAGACTTGATTATATATGCTGTGAGTGTGCACACAGAGCAGAGACATTCAACGTGTTCCAGAAGGAAAGGTCTAGAAGATTTTTCCAAGAGCTTTTCATTTTTCTGCCTCTTTCTCTGTATCAAAATAGAGTCTTAGATAAGGATCTAAATATATTTTGACCCAAACATGTAAATAAATAAAGTATTGCTTGGCTGTTTACACTTTAATTAAAAAAGAATGAAAGATGTCTATTGTTGAAAAAAATATTCTGCCTCTATAAAATCCTGAACAATATAGTTCCTGGGTGTCTACAGCCACTAACCACACTTTACAATTCAACATTAATCTGTGGTTAGCATGGCTTTTTTGAATTTTTGAATTTTTACTTTTAATTCATTTAAACTAAATTAGTCACATGTGGCTGGTGAGTACAGAAATAGACTGTTAATGATGAGCCTTTAGGCTTTTACCTTGTATAAACAAAAAGTGTTATTTCTTTGAGGTTCATTTTCCTGACAGAACTGAGGCAGTACTAATGTCACCTGAAAAGGGATAACTAGCTATCTGTTGTATGTTTTATGGATGAAATTGAATCATAGACAATAATGAGAAGATAAAGGATAAATGCATAAGTAAATATGAGTAAAAATGAATCATACAATTTGTTGTGTCCCCCAAAAAGAGCCAGACATTGTAAAAAAAAATTACATTCGCTGCCTGTCTGTGTAATAATTCTTGGAGGTGCACATTTTCACCATCAAAATTTTGAAGATAAGGGATGTACAGTATAGAAAAATTACAACATGGGCTGAAGAGATGGCTCAGCAGTTAAGAGCACGCCTGCTCTTCCAGGGGACCTGGGTTCAATTCCAAGCACCCATATGGCAGCTCACAACTGTCTGTAACTCCAGTTCCAGGAGATCTGACACCTTCACACAGACATATATGCAGGTGAAAAACCAATGCACATAAAATAAAAATAAATAAACTATTTATAAAAAGAAAAAGAAAAATTACAACCATGCCCAAAGATAAAGTATATAGTAAACATTGGAGTGATGTGCCCAACTTAGTTTTGTCTCTAACAATCCCCAATCACAATTGCATTTATTATTTTGATCATGAATTCAAACAGTCAGTTTATTTTAGGTGAGATTATTAACTCCCAGATCTAATTGCAGGGCTGTCTGTCCCTAGGGTACCCTTTCTTTTCTCCCCTTGATGATTATGATGAAAAGAAAATGATGTCTAGATGTAACTCACACAGGACATAGTCTGCAGAAGGCATTTGCATCATTTTTCCTATCATCATAATTAGGACATTTCTGTAAACTCTAATTGCATGTGTGAAAGCAATCAGAAGGGTCACTGAGTCAGGTATGAGTATCATAAGTGGCACTGGCCTTAATGTCACTAGTGACAAAAATAACACAAAATTACAGTGTGAAAGATTTAAAGGACCCAAACATAGTAGCACAAAAACCACTTTTAGTTGGCGAGAATAACCAGAGCTTCATGAGATTCTATTCTTCACTCAAGATCACTCAAATGGTATTTATGAGCATGCTTACTAAAATTTTCTAATTTTAGTTATTAAAAATGCTGTGCTTCATTGTCTAAATAATCATTATATGGGGAAGCTTTGGGGAAAAGTTTGTCTATAAATTATACTGAATTATTAATTGAACTAAGAAATGTTTCTATGAACATTTCTACCGGGGATAGTGTTTGCTTTCTGTCATTCATTTTCCCTAAAATGTGTTTCCTGGCATCCCTACCCAAAGGACTTGTCAGCTATGATGCTGGGTACTCAGAATGGTGAAAACTGACCCAGTGGTTATATTAACAGGGAGAAAAAAAAAAACTTCAACAATGCACTTAGCTGTCAGCCATATGATCTGAAGTAAATTCAATGAAATTGATTTGTTTTAATTCTCCAGTATTTCTAATTGGTCCCATGCTGATTGCCAGTTAGTATTCATAGAATTAAATTCATGTTAACCATTTGCTTGCTAATCTTTGTATTATCAATAGATGGTGATTTCAGAGCTTCCTAATTGGATTGTTATCTCATTGTGGACACATTAACACTTGTCTGTTTCTCTGTGACACTTGAGATAGTTCTGAGGATATACGACATGTTTAGTGGGTTTTTAGAGGGGTGACATCCGGGAGGAAGAGGTAGTGACCTGTCTTATTTCAGCAGCAGATGCTATCCTCTCTGCACTGAGATGAAAGTAAGGAACTATACCAGAGAGATGTACGCATTTAAGTCTGGAATATCTACAACAAATTAGGTAGAGCAACCATACCACAGATGTGTTGGTTGTGGGAAGACACTACTGGAGTTGAGTATTGGGAAATTTATATCTGAAAGAAATAGAGGTATTTTGTTAGGGTTCCTATTGTTGTGGTAAAACACCATAACCAAAGGCAAGTTGTGTAGGCAAAGATTTAGCACAATTTAAAGCTTGTTGTTCACCATCCAGGGGGCAGGGAAGAAACTCAAGAGAGGAACCTGGAAGCCAGAACTTATGCTAACTGGCTTGTATCTCATGGCTTGATCAGTTCAGGACCATCCAGCCCATGTGTGGTACTGTTGTCAGGGAGCTGGGCCTATCTCAAACATCAATCAAGAAGACGCCCAAAGGCCAATCGTGTATGTGGGGTTAGGATTTTCTCAACCTTCCTACTTCCAAAGTAACATTAGCTTGGGTCAAGTTGACATAAAATTAGCCATCACAGAAGGGAACAACCCAAGCCCATGGACATGCTTATGACAAGAAACAGAATAAAGATGTATTCAACCTCTGTGAAGGTCATGGGCTTTGTCTCTCCAAACATGAGCACAGCTTCTGACTGAATGAGTGAGATGCCAGTTGCAATAACTCTTAGTGAATTTTTTTTTTTTGCTAAATGTAAATGTGTCACAGTCACATGAACCTGTTAAGACTAGCAAGTGAAATGTAGGAAGTGTTTTTCTAGGGGACTACAGTAAATAAATAGTTGGTATAGTGTATTTGTCTCCCCAAGGGAATGAGTATTTCCACTTGAGCTAAACTTACTCCAAAAGAAAACAAGATGCTGGTGGGCAAAAAGGATGGGAGGGAGGAGGAAAGGAAGAATAAACACTTAAAACAAAGACCAGCAAAGACTGAATCAGCCTAAATAGGGTCATGGTCCTGCTTCCTTCTAGTTTAGCCTGTAAAGGACCACCATAAATGTACTTATTTGTGAAGTTTTTTAATAGAGAGCCTATCTACCTGAAGCTACATGTATGCATATTCACGTTTGGAAACAGATAAACTACCACCAGAAATTAGATGAGTTTAGGTAGAATATGGGTATTAAAAAAACAACATTCCTACAATCAAGAATAAAAGGGATATATGCTAGGAGCCGAAGTAGAGGGTAGATATGAAAGGCAGGACTCAGCAAATGGTACTGTCACAATTCAATGATCTAAGGAGTTGCGATAATAGAGAAGTTGTGCAGGGGACATTCTCTAAGAGCACACCTTATCAAAGGTTTTCATTTGTATTAAGTTAAGACAAAATAAGCTGAAACAACTTTTCAAAGACAAAGAGACCACAATACCACAAAAAAGAAGTTTCTGAACTGTATGTGTATCTATTTCATAGGCTGTTTATTTGTTATGGTGTTTCATCTACAGATTTCCTCACTTACCAGTGCATCATTTTTCTTATAAGCATGGATATCTAGATGTATGTTCATGTTTTATATAAAAAATTACATTTGCTTTGTAGATGATCAAGGTCAATGATTTCCTGATGTCTGATAGATCATTACTGGAGCTGAAATTTATGTGCTTAAGACTCTAGGCACAGGCATGTGGATCATGACCCTTTTGGGGGTTGAATGACCTTTTTACAGGGGTTGCATATCAGATATCCTGCATATGAGATATTTACATTGCAGTTCATAATAGTAGCAAAATTACAGTTAGGAAGTGGCAACAAAAATAATTTTATGGTTGGGGATCACCAAGGATCTACTGCTTTAGAAAAAGCAACTTGTTCCAATTCTGCAGTGCTACAGCTTGATTGGACTGT